ACCATCCATGAACACCAGAGAGGTGCAGTGACTTGCCTGAGGTCACACAGTGCATCCTGAACCTCAGCTGGGTTCTCTGCCTTGTACCAGCCCCAGGGATGAGTGTGGAAGGAAGGGGTTTGGGATAAGACCCATCTTGAAGTTACCCCAACTCTTCCCGCCTGAGCAGCAGCAGGTGCCTAAGGCACAGCCTAAATCTTTGCAAACCAGACAAAATTCTATCTACCTAGCACATGTTCTCTGTGTAGGAAGCCCTGGAGTGCCTTAATGACATACCTACCCTTTGTTGAATGTCTGTTTACCGACCAGGCCCTATGGTTTATTTGTTTTGTTTTTGCCCTGTGATTGGAATGAGTCTGAAAGAGAGGCATTTCCACTCAACTTTGCTGAGCAGGGAGCTGGCCCTGGGGCCAGAAGGCCAGGTGGTCTGGTCAACATTGCCTCATACATGAGGGGCTTAACTGTGCCTGGACTTAGTCTCTAGGCATTTGCGGAGGGAGTGTCCTGTGGAGCCCAGTGTTGGGGGGACTAGAACTACCATGTCCAAAGTGATAGGTAAGATGCCACTTGACTTTCTCCTTTCACCAGGGACTGAGGTTACTTCTAGCCAAGATGCCCACTGGAGAGGGAAGGCATGTCCATACAGCCCATGAGCCATCCCATCCTCTCAGGTCTATGAGGTGCCCTTAGAATTTATGGTGGCTGCTTTTCTGAGTCAGAAAGAGTCCTGCCCTTGGGCCTGGCCAGGTCTTGACACTAAACAAGGCAGAGAGGCAATTCTACTTCCTCATGATATCCCTCTGCTCCTGATCAACCAGCTCATGTGGTGTACCCACCCTCTCTACATGTATTTCCTCTGCCCAGAGAGGGCACTTCCCCTGCCACCCTCCTGGCTCTCCAGTCTGCTCTCTGCAGCCTCCTTCTTTAGGCAGGCCTCCTAGTTCTCTGCCTTCCTTTTCAGTTGGATTTTCTTTGTGTTGCCTCAAAACATGCCCTTCTTCTGTGGTGGTCAGAAGATGGTGGAAAATGCTGTTACTCCTTCTCATTGAGAGGTGGAGTCTAAGCCCCCTTCCCTCATCACTGGCCTTGCAGCTTCCCCTTCCCTCCCAGAATACTGTTCTTTCCCCAGGGAGAAGTCCTGTGTCTCCAAGATCACCATGCTATAAGGAAGCCCAACTAACCGTGTGGGAAAGAGCCATGTGCATGTGCACCTGGTCCCCATCTGTTCTAGCCCTGCCCTTTAAGTCACCCTGGTTGAAAACCTGGACAACTTGGAGTAGAGAGGAGCCCTTCCTGCTGTGTCTTGACTAGTGCCTGACCCACAGCACTGTGAGATGTAATGGTAAAAGGAAAAATGATTAAGTTACCAAGTTTTGGAGGTGATTTACTATGTAGCAATAGATACTAGAACATTTTCCCTGGCCTCTTGGACAAAGCCCTTCATAATAAATTTCCATCTTTGAACTTCAAGGAATCAGGAACAGCACAATTAGACCTCCTTTCAGAACTGAGCCCTGTGCCTAGGCTCCCTAGGCCCCTTTCTGTCTTTGAAGCTTTACCTCCTCTGACCAGCAGCCACCCCTGAGCCACTCCAGCTTGGCATCTCCCATCTGCTGGACACCAGCTACAAACTTCCTTCCAGCTCCTGGGCGCACCTGTCTACCTGTCTGCCTTTCTCAGACAAAGCACTGGCCAAGGTGCTGCTCCTGGCAGTCCAGCCCTCAGGATGTCAAAGAAGCCACTTTTGCTAGACTAAGTTTTTCAACACCTTTAAAGGGAATGAATCTGTCCATCAACAGATGAATGACTAGAGAAAATGTGGTGTATATATACACAATGGAGTTTTATTCAGCCATAAGGAAAAATGAAATTATGTCATCTGCAGGAAAATGAATGGAAATAAAGATCATTATGTTAAGTGAAATAAGCCAAACTCAGAAGGTCAAGGGTTGTTATGTTTTCTCTCATATGTGGAAACCAGAGAGGAAAAAGGAAAAGGAAGATATGGGGGGAGGGTATCTCATGAAAATCAAAGGGTGATCAATAGAGGGAAGGGACCAGCGGGGAGGACGTGGGGAGGGAGAGGGGAGTGCAGGGGAGTGATATTGGCCAAATTATATTACCATATTGTGTGCATTATGAATATGTACCAACAAATCCTAAAATATGTACAATTGTAATATACCAATAAAAATGAAAAAAGAGAAAAAAATAAGGAAATTAACCATATTTCTTTAAAATAAAACAGAACCTAGTGCAGTGGTGCATACTTCCAGTCCTAGTGGCTCCAGAGGCTGAGGCAGGAGAATAGCAAGTTCAAAACCAACTTCAGCAACTTAATGAGGCTCTCAGCAACTTAGCAAGACCCTGTCTCAAAATTAAAAAGGTCTGGGGATGAGGCGCAGTGCTTAAGTGTCCCTGGGTTCAATCTCTGCCCTGTCCCCAAAGGAAATGTTCAGTTTACACAAATTGGTGCTGACCTCATTCCCACCCTTGTCCCAAGATCAAGGAGCTGGGAGCAAAAGCCCAGTCCCAATGGTCTGTCCCAGCAAAGCCTGGGAGTCAATGGGGGTTGTGACTGAAGATTAGATGAGATCATTATGTCCCAGGGGTTGAAGCTCACTGTGGCTAAGCAGTCCCCTTACTCAGAGGAACTTCCAGGATGATGTCACCTGAACCTTGGCCCTTCTGTCCTTGGCTCCTGTCCACCCAGCCAAGCTCTCCTTCTACCCAGTGTGGGACAATATGACAAAAGAATGGAGTGAGCAAGCCTCTTTCTTTCCCTCCATTCCCTTTTGAACTTAATTACCACCAGAGGGCAGGCAAGGGAGGTCTGTGAGCCCCTGTTGGGGGGGACACTGAGGCCAAGCTGAATCAGGCATAGGGTGTGGCCCTGCGGCAGAGACCCTGTTCCAGAGAGCAGGGCTGCAGAGTTTGGCCAGGGCGGTCTCTGGGATGGGACCTTGGCCAGAGAGTGAGAATCTGGGGGAAGCGTGGCACTGGTGGTCTTTGCTCTACTTTCTACCACAAGGTGGTCCCAGCTCCCCAAGCCCATTCTGGGCTGTGTATTGTTATATTCTCCCTTCCACCTCTGCCCCAGTAAGGTCTGGCAGCCAGGGTTTGCACTAAGCTCAGCTCTGTTGGAGAGGGGAGAACTTGTCCTCAGAGAGCTGCCAGTAGGAAGGTGGGGACTCGCCACAGGACACATGGAAGTGTAACTAGGAGGCAAAGGGCAGGGGAGAGGCTGGAGCCAGGTCTTTGAAGCAGAGGTAAGATTTGACTGGACTGGGTGGTATTTGAAGTGGGCAAATGGCTTGAGCACAGATATGGAGGCCAGCACAGGCCTGAACTTTGGGGGGTAGATCAGAAAAGCACATAGATCTCTCTGGCTAGAGAGTTGGAGCAGGCTTCGCCTGTGGGGTCAGCTGGGGAAGTGGTACCTGGAGTGCCAGGCTTGGGAGCTCTGCTTCTGAACAGAGAACAGTCAGGAGTCACAGAATGTTCTAGAACTAGGGCCCTCCTCACCCCAAGTCCTGCTTCTGAAATTATTTCCTTTGGACATCAGCTGGGCCTCCCAGCCACTATAAATCTGTGCACTTTGCTGTTTAAAACAGGTTCCCCTGCTCTATGGAAGCCACGCTCCCAGGGAGGGGGAGGCAGTTGCCTCTTTGTTTGGCCCAAGGTTACAGCAAAGAAACAAAAGGAATGAATTTTCCCTTTTTTCCTGTTCTTTCTTTCCCTTCCTGCAGCAGCAGAGATGGTGTCTAGAAAGCTTTTGTGCTTGGCTTGGTGAAGCTCCAAGGGGTGAGGGGCGGCGGGGCCTTGGCCGGCAGCTGACCCCAGTCCCTGTCTAATTGGCCCCTGCAGGAGCCAGGCAGGCTAATTGGACCAGGCCTGGACAATGGGGCTGAGGCTGGGGTGATCATAGGGGTGGGGCTTCCTGAAAGATACTGGCTTCCCATTCCCATTTCCCTAGGCCTCTCTCAACCCTGCCTAATCTATAAGGCTCCACTCTGGACCCCAATCCTCTAGGAATATCTCCTCCGGAAAACCCCCCTCAAAGCTCAACTATCAAACCTTTATCAAAGCTCAGCTATCAACTCCTCCTCTGGTATGTGGCTCAGAGCCTTCCCTCTGCTGATAGAAACTTGGGGCTGGCCCTTGTTTCCAGTCCAAGGACATTTGGGTGCTCATCCAGGGGGCTGGGAGGGAATAGACTCCTCCCCAAAGTGGCTCTGTTCAGTCTTCCACAAAGAACCCTTCCCCCTGGTCACCTCTTACCAGAATACCCCCTGGTTAAAGTCTGGATGCCTCTGATTGCTTGCTTCTTGTGGTGTGTGTGTCGAAGGGGGGAGTGTGGGCAGGGGTCCAGAACCTGGGTTCTAATCTCACTTCTGCCCATAGCTGTTGGATGACCTTCAGAAAGGCCCTTGCCACTCCGTAGGCCCTCATCTGCCTCTAGGGAGATGACACCTACTGGGTGTAGAAGAAGAAATACTTTGGGAATGGGGTCCTGAATTTAAAAGATTGTTATCACCCAAGCCCACAGCCTGGGACTAATCTGCTTCTTCTTGAATGCTTCCATCTGCCACCTCCACTCTTCCTCACAGCCCTATACCATGTCTGTGCTATCAGCAAACCCTCCCAGGCTAGCCCAGACTGGGATGTGGGGCTGGACCTCCAAGATGCCAGAGTCAGGGCTCAGTTAGCAAGAAACAAGGGTCACTTAAGGTGATTTCCCCAGAAATCTTGCTCTCTTCCCTCTCTGGATTCTGGCTGTGGGCTCAAGAGGCCCTGGTTGGGGCTAGGGGTTCTGCAGAAGGTTCCTGTGACTGTAGACATCTAGAAGCCAGTGCCTTGGTCTCCTGCCTCCTTGCCTCTCACTTGTACAAGGCTCCAGGAATACCTCTAGTGGTTGCCTGGCAACACACCCCTACATACCTGCCTGCTAGGTGAACAGACTCATCTCCCAGGAAAAGTGGGTGTGGGGGCAGACTTACAGAGCGGCTGTCAACCAGGTCCAGAGCAGCTTTAGGGGCTAGAGGGGGTGGGGCCCCTGGCTCCCCCATCTTTGCTGCTAGCAGTCTTGTTCCCTGGGGTTGGGTCCCCAGGGACTGTTGCTACAACAAGTGCCTGCCTAGTGATGGAGCCCAGCCCTGAGCTGGAAGCAGGCAGCCCATGGGGCCACTTCCCCTTTGTTCCAGAGTGAGGGGGCACCTGGGTGGGTGGCTGAAATCAGGCTAGGCTCATTCCTGGGGAGGGCTATGGCGGCCCTTTAGGACCCCGGGCTTCTGACTGCCCCCAGCCTGCCCTCTAGCTACACCTCAGCCTCCCTACTCATCTCCCCCTTCCCTCTCCACTTGTGCCCTTGGTTCCCCATGCTTTTTTCTTTCCCGCTCAGCCTCGCCCTCTCCATCCCTGACCCTCTACCTCTCAGTTTTCCCTCTCTCTGCACCCCCATGTTCTCAGGCACCTCCCTCCCGCAGCTGCTCAAGCTGGGCTCACTTTCCTCTCTGCAGCTGCGCAGTAGGATTCAGGGTCCCACGCCTGGCCCCTAGGGCCTCCCAGGCTCTGCCTTCCTGATGGTCCAGACAAATTCTTTTCTCTTTAGTTCAGCAGACATGGGTGGGTGTTTTTAGAAGGATCTCTCTGGGAAGCAAAGGGAAAACAAACCCAAACAAGCCAGCCCACCACCTAGAAACGCGTAGGCAGGAAGGCAGAACAGCCTCAGCCTGGTTGCAGAGACCCCTCCGGAGGGCGTGGGGGCTCTTGGCCCATCCTAGCCAGCTCAGCCCCAAGCCTTTCAGGATGGGGAGCCAGCAGATGCCTGGCTGGAGCTGAAACTTGATAAATATTTGGTTACTTGCTTAATGAATGTTTAGGGTTCTCTGGGGCCTTGATGCTGGCACAGTTACGGAACCTGACTGGACAGTCCGAGTCCTCTACCTGTGTCAGAATCTCCACCAATGGGGCGTCTGTCTTGCCAGTGTTGGAGGGTTTTGCCTCTTCATTTGCAGGCCTCACTTTTCACTTAATTCACTTTTCCTGAGTGAGGTTTCTTTCTTTTAAATATTTTTAATTGTAGATGGACAGAATGCCTTTATTTTATTTGTTTATTTTTTGTGGTGCTCGGGATCGAACCCAGTGCCTCACACATGCTGGGCAAGTGCCTGACCACTGAGCTACCATCCCAGCCCCTCTTAGCGAGGTTTCTTAGTGTAAGAAGGATGGGCAGAGGCGTTGGAAAAAACCCCCACCCTGCTCTGGAGCCCAGATTTGAGCTGGCCTGGCAAAGCAGAAAGACCATGGGCTCTGCTATTCATTAGTTTGGGGACTTTGAACGGATCACTTAACATCTCTGAGCCTCAGTTTCCCCTCTGTAAAATGGAGCATTCTCTGCACCCATCTCATGGAGCTGTTGGGGGACCATGTGAGGTTGTGGGTATAAAGCTCTGAGCAGAGTACCTGCCACATGGAAATGACTCCCCAAACATCACTCCCTGCTCTGTGTGCTGCTCGTGGAAGGCTTTGGAGGGACTAACACTCTTCCAGGGAGATGAGAAGAACACTTGACATGGAGCCACCCTCCCTGATGGTGCCAGTCGCCCAGCTGGTGTACCAGATAGGGACCCTAACCCTTCTGATCTTGCCCTGGAACTCCCTCCCTGTCAGAGAAATGGGCTGCTGCTTCCTGTGGTGTGGGCCAGAGCCTGGGAGCAAGGCCACACTGACCCAGACCCACGCCCCCTCCAGTCCAGCTTTCAGCCACCCCTCCCCGCGAGGGACCCAGCCCTGCACCCGCTGAGCTGCCAATCGATCGAATCTGCTCCCATCCTCGGGCGTGCCATGAATTTTTCATCAAAGGCCTGTAGACTTTGGGAAACGCACAATTAGAGGCCCCATCAATAATGCACCACATGGAGGCATCCTCTGAGCCAGCCAGGCCTCAGACATGGCTGCCTTCCAGCCTGCTCTAGTAAGAGGCAGGAGGGGCACCTGTGCGGATCCTCAGGGGTCCATCACTGGACATAGAACAGGTGTGGGGTGCTGAGAGGGAGGGGGAGCTGCACCCTCGAACGACTCACGTCTGCCTATTCCTTGAAGCCCAGGTGGGCCCCAGGTAGATCAGACTAAGCTCGGGAGTTTCATCTATGAAATGGGTGCTGAAGAGCTCCCCGGCCCTTTCCCTGACTCTTAAAGCATGGTGGGACACACCAAAGAATTCCTATGTGAAGATGAGGGTTCTTTGTGGGGCTGGGGAGTGTCCTTCAGGATGGGTCCCAGAAAGCAGGGCAGAGTAGGAAGAGCAAAGGAAGACAGAGATCCCAAAGCATCGGGGCTTTATTCACACTTTCTTTGCCCTGCTTGGCTGTCAAGGTCCCCTATGATCTCCAGCCTCATAGTACAGCTACCCAAGCAGGGATATGCGGAGAATGCCTGAAATCCCAGCGACTTGGGAGGCTGAGGCAAGAGGATCACACATCTGAGGCCAGCCTCAACAACTCAGAAGACCCTGTCTCAGAATAAAAAATTATAAGGGCTGAGGATGTAACTCACTGGTAGAGCAAGAGCGAGCGCAGCTCCTGTCCCAGGCCCACCTACTTCCCGCAGCCTCAGAACCTCTGGGGGCATAAAGAGCTCCACTTGGGTCTTGCTTCTGTGGCTTCCCCCATGCAGTCCCTCCACTAACAGGATAAGGTGCTTCACTCTCTGCTGACAAAGCCTCTCCCATCTTCCTGGGCTGTTTTTTCCTCAATTCTCCAGCCTGAACCCAGCAGATAACAAGTGCTCATCAGGGCCTCGTTCTTTACACTTCCAACAGATGAATCTGACCTCAGCCTTCCAGCAGCTTAAGGAAGTTGCTACAGCATGCCCATTTTACAGAGGTGAAGCACGAGGCACAAGGAGGCTAGGGGACTTTCCTGAGAAGGGGAGCTGGTTCCAGAGTCTGCACTCTTAGCCACTTCCTCAGACCCTGGGTTGGTGCTCAGTCCACGGGGTCAGGTCTCAGGCTTCTAGATTCCTCACTGGACTGCCCCACTGCCAGTCCCAGGCTCAGCTGAAATCAGGGTGAGGCCTGCAGGATGCTGGTAACCATGCTCAGCTGGCTGGGGGAGAGGTCTCACTCCCAAGCGTGAAGTCAGCCTTGCAGGAAGGTCCAGGTGCCTCCTTGGTCCCCCACAATGGCTCCCACTGAGCCCTACACCCTATCTCCCAGAGCCCCACTGGGTGCTGTGCTTTCCACACCCCCACGGCTCTGAGTCAGGCTGGCACAGTCTGAGGCCGTCCTCCTGAATGCTCACACCATGGTTTTTGGTGTGCTGCTAGAGGATGTCGCAGTGCTGGAGGTAGGTTTTGAAGGATGAGGAGGAGTGTGTCAGATGATTCAGGAGTATGGAAGGGGTACTGTCCTGAGGCAGCAGGAGCAACTGTGTAAAGGTGGGACGCATCTGGCATGCCAGGGGAGTGTTGTGGACGGTCAGCATGTGTGCTGAGGACAGGTGGTGGGAGATGAGGCGGGAGCAGCTGCAGGGTCTAATCACCGAGGCCTTGAATGACAGGCTAAGGCAGTCGCCATGGAGCCTGTTACAGTCGGGTTGGGCTGGGCTGGAGCTACATGCTGACACCAAGCATGACTGTGAATAAGGCTCTCCCGTTATTAGGCCCAATGGCCCTGGAAGCACACACAGTGTGCTGTGCAGGAGAACAGAGCCAGAGAGCGCAAGAAGTTGCCTGGCCTCCCCCGACACTGGTCGCAGAGCTGACTCAGCATGCACAGCCCTTCAGGGTCAGAATCCTGTGTGGAGGTCAGAAAGCAATCTCAGAGCCTGAAGAGGCTGAGAGGACTTCCGGAGCAAATAATAGCCCAGAGAAGAGTAGGTTGGGAGGCTGGCTGCCCAAAACCATAAGTTGGGGACAGCGGGGGGAAGGCATCCTTGAGATGCCACCTTGTCTCAGTTTTCTGGGTGTGCCACCTGCCTTGGCATCCTGGAGTCACCAGGCCATGCCCCTATTTCACCCACCCAGGGAGCTGTCCAATCTAAGCCCCTGTCCAGCCCTCCACTGATTCTTCTCAAGGGAAATAAGAGACATGGAAGTTACTTCTCAGCCATTTCTCAACCCTGTAACTCAAAGCTGTCACTGTTCTTGGAGCAGGGATCTGCCAAACCTCAAGCTTGGGAGCAGAGCTGGAACTTGAATGGCAGCCCTGCCTCCCAGAACCAGGGAAAGGGCTCGTGGGGTCCCGGAGGGAGGCGAAGCCTCACCTAGACTGAGTGGGCAGACTGTGCCCAACCCAAGGAGCCCAGTCTGAGATGTGATCTTGCCTGGGAGCCCGAGCCTGGAGGAGGAGTGCTGCCCTCTCTGCTCTGGAGCGAGTCTGAGGAGGAGGCAGGACCCACACGCTCCTGATAAGGACACATGAAAAGAACAGATGGTGCCAACAAGTGCAAATTAATTGAGCGAAGCCTGTGTACACAGGCGCTGTGAACAGGCGGCTGACAGGCTTGGGAGGGGTTGGTGGGGACAGGGCAGGGAGCGGGGAGACGCTGTAACGAGCACTTATCGATGTCTTGCTGGATCTGCAGCCAGGAGCACAGTTATTGACAAAGCCTGTCTATAAATCTCCTGGTCGCGTCTCCAGAAACCTTAATTACGGGGCCTCATTACCCCTCACACCTCTAGGCGGAGAGGACCAGCCTGGGCTGAGGTGGCTGCTGACACTGCTACTGGCCTATGACAGCAGTATTGAGTCCCTGCAGTGAAAGATGCCCAACTGGGTTGCCAGGGGGAGCACAATTTGGGGCCATGTACACCGAAGATCCCACAGAGGCTCAATCTCCAGGGCAAGGGCAGGGGGCAAAATGGACTTTGGAATCAGAGAGCTCTGGGTTTATGCTGCAGATTTGCCAGTTACTGCTGACCTCGGTGAGCACTTTACCTCTCTTTGCCTCAGTTTCCTCATCTGGACAATGGGGAGACGGTTGTAAGAAGATTAAAGAAGCAGTGTCTCTAGTGTTGAGCAAGGCGCTTGCCATGTGGAGCGTGAGTGTGGGTGCTGGCTCGCCACAGGGGGTCCCTGGTGCTCT